ATTTGCGTGATCGTCAAGAAGCAATTCGACTGCCGGTGTCACGGACGGAATTAGCAGCAATCCAAGCCCAAGCCCAAGCAAATCAAACAATCTCACTGCATGATGAATTGGTTGATTATCTTGATGATCAAACGTCACGTCACGTCACACCAAGAAAAAGTGCTTGCGTGTTCTCTCCCCCGCAACAAAACAGGCTCCTACGTACCTAGGTAATGCATGCAGCATAGGTCGTGACAGTACTAGTTATCAATCGGCCCTGCTCCAGGTTCTTGTGCTTAATAGTGCACCCGTATTGGGAACCTAATGGACAGTAAGACGGGAGGTTTCTGACGGAGATGGTCCGGAAATGTTGTGCAACCCGCGCGGGCCGCTCTAAGAATTTCTATTGACAATGTCTATTGGGTCCTCCGTAGAAGAAGAGGGGGGTTTCGGTGTGGTCCGTGTATTAATTAGATTCATTCGTTGTATTGTGCGAGGGAGTTGACTAAGGTATTGATGTTCCTTCTTCGCATTCATCGAGTCCGAGGATGAGTCGATCGACTCATCCATGATTCATCCCGTCAGTCAGCTCGCATAAAACATGAAAAATGATTTACCGGTCACAAGGAATGAAAATGTCACGATGGCTGACTATGAATAATAGAATAACAAGAAATACTCATTTAGAATATTAGTGTGGGGCTATTTATGATTCGAAAAAGAGACGCCGAGCGCATAGAAGGGCCTGACCCCAGACATAGAGAGGGGCCTCTATCAAAGGTGCCAATGCTAGTATCAAAAGTTCCTTTGACCAGCGCAACGCTGCCAGAGCGATGAGGTAAGCTGTCCTGGAGAAAAGGATACGTACTCCGGAAAGTTCCCAGGAGTCTGGTTCGTCTTTGACGAGCGAATTAGCAATCAGATTGGATCGTTATTCATCGAAACGGTAAAGGGCACTTTTGTAACGGAACAAGGTGCCGTTTTCTATGTTGGTTGGCTCATGCTGTTACGCCTGCAATGCGGCGTCTCGGATTAATGAAATGGGAGCCGAAAGTATCTTCGCTGAGGAAAGGACTTTTGTGCGAGTTGACGTCCCATCAAGTAACAGAATGAATGACTTGCAGGACAGGTCTCGTGTTCAGAGGTTTCTATTAATTAAGCGACGACCTGAGGCTCCGGATATTGAAGTCGAGATCCGGCCGAGATATCGATTGTGGCTTATGTACGTTGAGTACCAGATTAGTCCGTATCGAGGCTTGAACTCTATCGGGCGCCTCCCTCGATTTATGGCTTTTTGGGTGTTGGAACGGCAATTGCCCTTGTAGCAGGATTGCGAGGACTATAGGATAATCGCCCAAAGAGGGTAGGGTGATTCTCACATCGACAAAACATATAATTCAAGGTTAAAATTCATACTCGTAGCAGACCTTCCATTGGCAGTGGGGAGAGACTCTCTCAGGCAAGTCCTGTGCCGGTTATCCGTCACCCTTTTGTGACCTCCCCGACCGGGACTAGCGAGGCAAGGTGGGGCCGTGTGCTGCAACTTCCTCGTGCGGTTCTATCTGTGAGTGTGGGCTTGTGAGACCCTAGTTCGCGGGACCTTTTGGCGGGAAGGAGGTCCTTTTGAACCTGCAACATGCGGCTGCCACTGACAGTCCACCACCGAGAGACAACGCCAGGCAGGCGCAGGCACAGAACAGGTCAAGCAAGCCATGCCATGTGTCGTGCTTTCCCGGGACCGGGGGTCTCCAAACGATCAGGGTGCTCTTTCCCCGACATCTATCTACCTTACCTAGGTAAGTACAGTACAGTACAATCTCACTGCCCAGCTCCTGCGGAGTCAAATCGAGTCGACAACTAGGCCTTGGAAGGAAGAGGAGAACCCTCGACTTGGCACCACCAACGACATCTTGCACTCTTCATCCTCGCGACATCTTCGAGATCAACAATAGCACTTTCAGGACAAAGACACAGAGCCCTACACCAAATCTGAAAAAGATATCCACTAGTAAAGGCGAGATCGGCAGTCAGCGCGGAAATTCGGCGCATCTAGTACAGTAAACTCTGCTGCACTTTGATGCGCTCTTCAAAAGTGCGGATCGCATCACACCCGCGCATCCCACAACCCGGCCGAGACAAAAGGCCAATCAAGACTCTGTCGCATCAGATCCAAATGTGATTGTCCTGACTTGCTCGATTTAGGCGAAATCGCTGTTCTCGAAAAAATACGGTAGTGTCCACTGCAGCAGCGCGCCAGCAGCCTCATCTCGCCACTCTGAGCCTGAGCCTGTGCCAGCGTCTTGGTCCACGCTCCCCAATACCATTCCCACACCCTCACGTTTCTACGACTTCCGGCTGCCACTCCACTCTCTCATCTGAATCCTCCTCAAAGCTCGGTTCAACGTGGGCCCTTTTGAAACGGCTGACGTCGCTTTGCTCTGGTCTGGCTGCTCCGGTTTGGTCACCGTTTCCCTAACCTTACCATCGATCCTAGTCACCCCGAGCAAAAGAGCCGCCGCATTTCCATTCCTCTTCCATACCCCATCGAAGCTGGACGGAGGCACGCCTGGTTTGGGCCCTACCGGCATCCCGTTGAACCCCGTCTTCCAGCTCGACTCACACCCCCCTTCGATCCACGATTCTCTCCTCAAACTTACGAACCCCTGCGTGCGACCTTCTTCCACAACAGATGCTTCTCTTCGTGGATCCATGCTGACTGTTCTGATCCTCTCACCTACGACTTCTGTTGGCTCGCTCCAGTTTCTTCTTCCAAACCTCTCCACACAACCTCAGAGCGGGTCGGAATGATCAACCTCCTCAGTTCACCGTCCTCTATGGAGACTCCTATGGCCAATGCTCGTTGAGGTTCACGCCCCCAGACGACAGAGTCACCCTGCGAGCCTTTTCCGTTCCGTATCGGCCGGTCGTGGGGCCCTCTCCGACTTCATATAAGTCCCATCTCCCTCCAATGGACCTACGCAGGGCCACGGCCGAGGACGATGTATCATCCACGACCGCTCCTACGTCGCCGCCCCTCAGGCGGCGTGTATCGATGGAGGAGGACCTCTACTACCAGCGTGTCATGACAAGTCCGCGCCGACCCTCCCAGCCGCCTCCGTACCAGCCAGAGCGAGATCCGCCGCCGACAACGTCGAATATCTCCTATGATGGGGATCGTTTGGAGAAGGGGAAGGAGCTCACGACTGGTGGGGGCGGCGAAACTCAGCTTCATCCAGATACAGGAAAAGAAAGCCTACCCGACTATAAGAACTCAATATTACTGGAAGGTGTATTTGACAAGAAACACGAAATCGAAAACTTGATAAAGAGGGCCGAGGACCGCCAATGGTATCCCGTTCACGTCTGTTTGAATGGAACAGCGCTTAGCATATATGGTACCAAGAAAGCATGGAGTTGGGGTAGAACACGCAGTGACGGGCCATCGGTCGACCCGGATAACCCTCCATGGGTAAAGAGGGGCAAGCTCGAGAAGACATATAGCCTCTTGTATGCGGATGTCGGTATTGCCGCTGACTATACGAAGTAAGCTATCAAAAGTACAGGCGTAGGATTTGTTATTAATAAGATACAGGAGGCGATATACCATCCGTGTTCGAGCCGAGACAGACCAATTTCTCCTATGCTGTATCGAGTTGAGTACATTCAACAAATGGCTTGAAGGTCTGTTCGCGGCTATCGATATTGCTCTGCCTCTGGAAGACCGAGACTTCCCGCGTGATATGTCTATTCCCCGAATACAACGAATTCGTTGGTTCCATGGCCAAACGCCAACGGCTACAGCTATTGACTTGTCAGAACTGGGCATTGAAGGAGGATCTGAAGAAGTATCTGCGACAACGAATGAGGCTCGTCCATCAGCGCCACCTTTACGATTAGCTCCAGAATCTCAAACCAGGCTAGAACCTGAAATTGAGGTTGAAGGAGATGAAGAAGAAGTGGTTGAACCCCCTCCGCGAATAGACCTTGCCCGTCGCCTCAGCACAACGTCATACAACAACATGGGCATTGACCCTGTCGATGGAAAATGGATACCAGAACATCAGTGGTCGAGTGCTCATGACTTGCTGTATGCCAAGCTCTGTTACAGCAACCTGCTCTTTAGAAGTCCCCGCAAAACACCATACATCATCAGCAAGGGCAAGAAGTTCTATGTTGATTGGACGACAGGCCGAATGGTCAGGGTCCTCCCGCCTGCCTACGGTGAGATCGACTACTTTGGGGCTTGGCAAACGGTTCATACCGAAAACAGACTTATCTGAGTTCTTGGCCAAACGGACACACCCTCCTACCACGACTATATCTTTCATCTATCATCTATCTCATCATTACTACATACACATACTCCCTGGAGTCGACAACTATTCTCTTACGACAGACATCACCGCGACCAGTCATATTCCCTTCAAGATGACACACATTTAACCCTAACCTGGGTTCATTCTACGACATATACAACTAGATCACCTATCATATTTTGTCACATACTGAGTTAGATACTCTTCTCCTCATCTCTTACTTTCTTGGCAGTACATATTTTCTCTGCATATCTGGCGCATGGAAGGCTGCGGATGTATCAGCCGATGATGACAGGGGCTTACGATCATGGAACGGAGTTTGCATTTCATTTATTGTCTGCTTAGATCCTCGTGCTTTCTACATTTGAGGACGCTACACGGCATTGGGTTGTGGTGAGTCGTGCCTCAGCCATTTGGTTTCCAGCATGAGTGGCCATGGCTACTTTTCCATATCAGCAATTCATACACGTTTGCATGCACGGCTTACGATGCCTGTACATAGATACATCGAAAGAAATATTTTGAAAGATAACATTGCAACTAAATGCTTGATTAACTGTGAACGTTGCTTCGTAAATGCTGTTATACAAGACAAAACAAACCATTGGTATGATAACGCCCGTTACTCCCGATCCATGGTATGACCACAGCCAGCATACGTTAGGCTTTTATACTATTTACATGCATATGCATCTTTTTCGTCGTTCATAATCCTTGTTGCCCACCACCATTGGCAGCGTCAACGGCTGCTATGCCCTGTCTCGTCTCAGCAGCAATATCGTCCACAACCGGGCGCAGCGCGTCATTTGCGCCCTGGACATCGGCAACGACAGCTTCGAGGGCATCGAGAAGTGTACGAATTTCTTCTCTTTGACGACGAACTTCATCGTACAATAGGGTGTTTTGCGATTGTGTCGTTTGTAGGCGAGCATTAAGTTGCGACTGGTGCGCTGTGAGGGCGGGTGTGAGATGTGCGGCGAGGATTGCTGACGGGGGCAGAAGATGAGGACTATATTATCTGTTAGTGTATGGCGGTTACGGTAATGAAAAGGGAACTTGCGGTATTGGTTCTTCTGTTGTTGACTCGGCGCGTCGGCGGGAGGCATCGCTAATAAGGCTCTCCAGATCATTGAGCTTAGGGACGACCTGTCTCGACACCATAATGTTGTCAAACTCTTTCTGTCCACTCCGCATTAGCATTATCCTTATTTACCACTTCGTTGTGTCATACCTCGCACTTCTCGCCAAGCTTATCAACCATTTGTCTCTGGACCTGCCTCAGCACACCCTCCGCCCTCTTCGCAACCGTAGGGTAGCAGCCGGCGACATTGTCCCATCCAATCTTGCCCAGCGTCTTCTTTAGCGATCGCGCGTAGAGTTCTTGTAGACGCGCGGCGCGAGGGCCAGGCGTAACGGCTGTGTGTCGCTGAGGGAGGGGGGGTGATGCGGGAGGGTCTTGTTCTGATTCTGGTTGTGGTTCTGATTCTTGTGTTTGAGATTGGGTTGTTTCTTGGGCTGCTTCGGCTTGCGCGGGTTGTTCCGGTTGCGGATCGGGAGCCATGATGATAAATATGGTACTGATGTTGGAGATGTTTAGTTTAGTCTTGGTGGTTGAGAGACGCGACTGACAAGGCGGCGCGTGGGGTAAGTGCTATACATCTTATCGCACGTGGTGGACCAGTCATGATCTATAATCCCAGAACGTAACCAATTATGAGGAAAATCCAGAGTCAACCTGGTCTGAAATATTCAGAATGTCTATATATGTCTATGAACATAAGCTTGTCAAAGCCAATTGCATGTCGTGTTTGTATGTACGATGTGTATCCATCCATGCCTAACCCATCATAACCAAGGCTCATCAGCACATGAAACTTGCAAAGTTATCATGACGCAGCCTTTTGTCTGTTGCAACACCGTGTTGTAGTTCCAGGTAGAAAATCTATAAGGGTATCGATTAAAAATCCCAAGGAAAAAGTGTTCGTTCGTCTGTATGTCGTTGATGCTGTCCCTCTCATGTTCTTCTTCTTCTTCTTCGTATGTCTCTCCGTGTTTAGTTGGCAGCCAGAATTGCAATTGCGTCGGCGTCCGTAGCGCGATCCTGCTTTCCGCCGTTTCTTCGCTTCTCTTCCTCTTCTTTCTTGATACGATCTGCTTCTCTTTGTCGTTCGTGGCTAACATATGTGGCATATCGAAGTGTACCAAGCGTCAAAACAGCCATGAACAGTATTCCCAGAACAGAGCGACGGATAAGAATCCATCTCACTGCCTCGATTTCTGATTTAGCATCGCTACTGAGAACAATGCTGATCTTGTAGTTGATTTGTTGAATCTGTGATACAGTCAGTCACCAAATCTTGCCGATATCGGAAAGGATCCTCACAGAGCTCTCGACGCTTTTCTGTTCTTCTCTGACGGCCATTTTTCGATCGTTAAATGAACCTCGAACATTATCATTAAGTGTATGAACCTCCTGGTTGAGTGATTGCGTCAAGATGTCGACCTCGTGCTGCAGGTGTGTTCGCTGTTGTCGTAGCTGCTCTTCTTCAAGCCTTCGGTTATTCTTAATCTCAGTACTCAACTCTGAACAAGCCGCTGTGAAAAGGTATGTTTCCTGAGGAAGCTGTTAGTCAATGTTGCTTGGGCCTCCAGCGACCCAGACCTCACATTTTCTACATCGCTCTTGCTGACAAGAGTTGACTGCGCTATCTCGAGATTTTCTGCGAGTAATGTTCGAATCGCCTTCATTGATGTCGTGGCTTGCTCCTGTGTATAACCCCCTACTTGCAATTGTTTCACGAGCGAGTAGGTATCGAAATGGTGGACATAGGGCGGTGGGCACATGGCCGGCCCTGGTCTTGTCGTCGTCGTCGTCGTCGTCTTCTTGGTTGTTTCTGGTGGTTCCATATGTAGTACTGCTTCAAGGGGGCCGCTTTGTTTTGCCTCTTCCCGGGCTGTTCTGGCTTGTTGTTCCTCCTTCGATGTCTCGTTCTCCTTAGGTTGTTGTTTACTGCTCGTCGATGCAGCAGCCTCGCTCGTCGACACTGGCTTATCTGGCATCGCCTGTACCGACGTCGTACTGCTCTCGGGCTCAGGGCGAGTGGGAGTTTCGCTAGTGAGTGGATGCGAGGCATTAAGCTTGGCGGTCGTATCTGCCCTTAGGGGCTGAGGCTCAACAGCTTTTCCTCTCCTTCGCGCGAAAGTGCCTCTATGTCGAGCAAAGCCAGCAGCAGAGCGGGGTGTCGCACGTAGACCTCGCAGGACCTGCGGGCTTAAGAAGGTCAACCGAGCAGCGGCCGTCATGGTGGGCAAAGGATGACCCCGCGGGATAGAAAAGGAGTGAGTAGCGATCGATAGATTCAGGGCGTATAGTTAGCGATGGCCGACAAGTTCCGAGTAATTCAATCATGAAAATAACGGTCTCTCTAGAATAATATCGTCGTGTTTCAACAAGTGTCTGTTGAGGTTGGATATGGTGCAGTCCAAAAGATGCAGCATGTCGAGGAAGTACTATACCTACCTAGTAGGTACTCCGTACCTTATGGCTCTAATGGAGAGGGTCCCGTCTGAGAGGGACCGGCAATCGGCGTGCGTGCTGTACCTACTTAAGTGACTTGGCCTCCAATGGATCTCGCCCTAATATGTCATTTCTCCAGAACTGGTTTAGTGCTCAGTAGCTTGTTTGCGAATTGCCGTTCATAGCCGCAGGGGTCCAATCTAATAGATATGTGCTTATTAGACTATTTTTCTAATTAAATATTCATCTACAGAAATAACCAAGGTAGGTAGGTAGGTACCTTGGCTATGGCTATATCTTGGTTACGCTGGTGGTAACACGAGACACACAATCTGTTCATAAATCAAGGGTACTTCGACAACGCCTCATAAGAATCGTCTCCTTTTCCCCTTTTCATTCCAACCCACCTCCTCTTGCGCAAGGGAGACCGTCAGTAGGATTGTAACGCTGTCGTGTTCTTTCGTTTACTATCCCAGACCAAAACAAGCTGCTGCAAGACATGAATAAACCCAATAACAAATACAAAACACCCATCATCCTACCAAACTCCAAGCGGCACCTCATTGTATCAAGTGCATTCACTGTCTGTACCTCGTGATGGCATAATTCCTATGATCAAGTGCCTGCCTTGTTCTTTTGTCCGTATGTTCACCTCGACGGAGGGCTTTCCGCGGCGAGGTTTTGTCTCTTATTAGCCAAGACATCCAAATCTATGTGTAATACAACGTATGAAGGGAGATTCTCTGACTCCGCTTGCAAGCATGTGGGTGAGTCCGCTGCCGCTGTCGATCGTCGATTAGCTGTTTACGCCTCATCGCTATGGACGTGAACAGCCACCTCCATGTTCTTGATGCCGGCAGATGGGACTCCGATGGCACTGTCGTTGGCACTTGGTAGCCCATCACTCTGGGGGCTGTTTGTTTCATTGGTCAACATTGGAGTTGGCTCAGCCGAGTCAACTTCGATTTTGAGATTGATAGCCATATTGTCGACAATCAAGATCTTCTCCACCACTTGGCTCAAACTGTGTGATGGCTTTGGAAGGGGTGCACTCTTCTTCATCGTTTCGAGGTGCGTATGGATCTTTTGTGCCAACTGCTGCTGCCCAGGACCTTTTGTGTTGTGAACTAGGCTTTCTATCTTGTGTTAGCCATCTTCACATGTATAAACAGAATGGCCACTTACTAATAACATAGTTTGCAAACTGGTCGTTGATCAGCTCAAACAATGTGTCCTTCCCACTCGCACTGACAGTACAAAGCTGTTCGCGGATTTGTGTTCGTTGTTCATCCGACCCAAAGGCGATGCACTTCTCAACCACATTGGACGAAATCTTGTTCTTGGAGAAGTACAACAGTTTGTTGATGACCATCTCAACAATTCGATCCCTGTCACTGCCGGGTCGGTGCTCGATGATAGCCTGAACGACATAGTTGCCAAATTGGTTTGTGGCAAGCGTCTCCATCGATGGGTAGAGCGGATCCAAGACCTTTCTGATGTCGTCCTCTTGGCATACCTCCAGGAGTCGTTGAATAACCCGACATCCATGCGAATCCTGGCTGAGTTCCAAGGCATGTTCTTGAGCAACCCCAACAAAGGAGGTGAGATGTGCTGAAGGGAGCTCTTGGACGAACTTCTGGATAACATGGTTTCCAGTCTCGTGCTTCATCAAATCAAGTAAATGGGGTTGGATCTCCTGGACAAGTTCGAGATTTTGCTTGACAAGGAAGTGCTCTATGGCCTGCTTAAATTAGAAGTCTGAGGATCAACAAGAAATGGCAGTGCGTACCTTCTGGACTACACGGCAACCGTGTTTGTTCCGTGCTAGATCATTGACGTGGCCTTTCATTTGCTGAAGAATGTGATATTTCTCTCCCTGTCCAGTATATTCGATCAAATTCTGCATTACGTAGTTGCCGAAGGAGCAGATCATCACGGTGCGAGCATCATCTGCTATCTCTAGCAAAATTCGAGTCTTCTCTTCGTTGGTTGCAACGGCCAGCTTCGTCTGAAGCCACCTTGACGACTCCTGTTCTCCACTGGCATCGACCATGTGGCCATAGGCTTCACAAAGCTCTGGTTGAGGACCAGACCTCTTCGTTAACCGTCCACAGAACTCTTTCACCCATTGATTTTTGTAGATCTTGGGCCCAGGGCCATTGTTCTGGTTATGATAGGGGTATGGTGCTCCGTATCCAGAATTGTTGTGCCCCAGCTGGTGATAGCGCTGAGGATACTGGTCAAGTCCGAGGGCATACTGAGCGTTGGGTTCTGAGAACATCGCCAGCTGGTGACCATAGTAGGGTATAGACTGCGCTGCCAGTTGGTTGACTGGGTTCAACATGCGGGGCCCTTGATCCACTGGTCGAGCAGAATACCCTTGATTCCAAATCTGCAGATTCGGTCTGGGGTTGAGTCCTTGCTCTGTGAGGTTCGAGAGGCGGTCGATGGAACCCCGGTGCATTGTGGGGGCTTGTGCGCTCATCATTTCAGAACTCAGATCCAGGCTGTTGCCGTTGACACGTTGTCCGCTCGCGTCATTGTTCCAGGGCTGGCAATTAGGGTCGAAAGCAAATGCACCGGGCATGTTTCCCAGAAGATTGAAGGATGCTGCATCCATACTCTGGCTGTTATTATGATTAAATGCTTTTTGGTTGAGAGCCTGGTGGTTGCTGCCTTGGCTCATGTGGTTGGGAAATTGTTGCTGGGACTGTGTCGATTTGCTTGCCGTATGGGTAGCACGGTAGGAGGGTGAAGATTGAGATTGTCGTGAAGAGTTGGAGCGGTGGTCCTGTGTCCGGCCGAAGCCATTGAAAGGTTCTGTATCGTAGCGAAATGTGTTGCCGTACACAGCAGTGCTCCTTTCTTTCGAAATGCCCATTTGCGAGAAGTGTCCCGCTAAGCCTTGGTCATTCCCTAGGTCGCTGTTGGGGATGTGGTCTTGTGCCATCCTACTTGGCGATGTACTGGGCGATCGTGTTGCGAGAGACGTTGTGCCCCAGAGGGAGGAGGTGGTGGGTACGTTGAAAGCATTGGATCCGCGT